ATAATTTTAAACGCAGGTGGCAACCCTATTAAATAAATATATCCTTACTGCACATCCAGAGGCCAAGCCCATTCATTTGACACCTCATTTTTAAAAATCGGGAGAACGGTGTAAATATTACAATTTTAAACGCAGGTGGCAACCCTATTAAAAAATATATCATTGCTGCACATCCAGAGGCCAAGGCCTTTCATTTGACACCACATTTTTGAAAATCGGGAGAACGGTGTAAATATCATAATTTTAAACGCAGGTGGCAACCCTATTAAAAAAAGATATCCCTACTGCACATACAGAGACCAAACCCTTTCATTCGACACCTCATTTTTGAAAATCGGGAGAACGGTGTAAATATTATAATTTTATACGCAGGTGGCAACCCTATTAAAAAAATATATCCTTACTGCACATCCAGAGGCCAAGCCCATTCATTTGACACCTCATTTTTGAAAATCGGGAGAATGGTGTAAATATAATTTTAAACGCAGTAGGCAACCCTAATAAAAAAATGTATCCTTACTGTACATCCAGAGGCCAAGCCCTTTCATTTGACACCTCATTTTTAAAAATCGGAAGAGCAGTGTAAGTATCAATTTGAAATGCTTTTTTATTATAAATTCTAAATATTTTTAGTTTGTTTTAGTTTCGAACGGGATGGCAACGCTATTAGAAATTATTTGGCGAAAAATCAATGTGATTTTTAATGATATTTTGAAATAAAACGTTAAATAAAATTTTTACCAAATGGTTTTTTGTTTCGAACTCTGAAGTTTTGACTTATTTCGGTACATTTACAATAAAATAAATAACCTATAAACAATCAAATTTCTTTACAAAATTCCTACATTCATCTTCAGAAAAAAAAAAACGGTACCAATTAACACTTTTATTACTATCCATCAACTCTCCAGCTAAAAATCAAAGGGTGCCTCTATTTGTAGCCACCACTGTAATTTATCATTCAAATCAGCCTAAAAGCATGCCACGTTACGTAGCACATGCCGTTTGGCTAGCTGGAAAAATTTCGCATTTTCTACCAGGCGCGCAAAATCGAGCGGCAGGTTGCTCCCGCAACAATGTTGCTGGCAACATGTTTCGCTGCGGTCTGGAGCAACATTTGTAGCTGAGATTAAGCGCAACATGCTGCTTATGACATTTCTGCTTATTTTTGCTGCGAATTGTTGTTCTCTTGCATGAATTTGGATTGTAGTGAGAAAATTCGAGTTTTTTCGAAAAATTGTGTATACTTACCACTCAAAGCAACACAAGGGCGGCAATAAATACAAATAGGACCATGTAGTATTTATTGGGAAATCAACTTTATTGAAGTTTTTACTATGCAGTAGGCGGAGGCCACAAATCTTGCATTGCTCGTGAACGCAATAACTAATTAATATCAGCTAATAACAAAAAAAAAAGTTAAGCAAAATTAATGTATGTATGTGTGTATAATTAACTTATAAAATTAATATGTAAAATTATAATTAAAATAATAAAATTATTAAAATAATTTGAACTAAATTTCGGGGCATACATATGTACATATTTAACACAATAGTTGTATAACATAAAAAAACTAATACATACAAAAAAGCACACACACAGCTGTAAGAACGTGGAGGTGTGTAACATAATTTAAGCGACTTGAAAATTGAGGTTAGTATAAATGTTTACATAATTTATTTCACAAACAATTGTAGCCGGTATAACATTTTTTAATGTTAACTATACAATAAAAGATTTAAAAATATTTCATGAAATTATGTACAATTGAATATAATTTAATTAAAAATATATGCATTATGTAATGTTTATATAAGAATAAAATATAATGGTATTTTTATTAAACGTTGCTTAATAAATTTTTTTAATGGATTGTTGCGGCTTTTTTTTTATTTTTTTCTATAACTTTTTTGTGTGTTAAAGCGAAAAACTCAGTTTTTTTTTTGCAAAATGGTAGAAGCGCAATTATTTTAGTTTTGTTAAAAAGTTGTAAAAATTATTGCATAAGCCTGAAAATTTACCTGATGGCGTATGCAAAAATTAGTTTTTTAGCATAATTATTTTAAGTTTTCTTTTTAGCTGAATGTAAAACTTGTGCAGTAGTGCTGCCTTTTTTTTGCTTGAAATGGTTAAAGACTTCAAGTGAAAAAAAAATTTTATTTTAAACTTAATTTTTTCCGCGATTCTGTGCAGATTTTTTTTCTGCTAAAATTTTATATGATCTACATTTTTATTCAATGCATTTATGTATATATCGTCCTCTGAAATCTGAAAGGCCTAACTAACGAAAATCGAAAATTCGCTTTGTGATTAATATGATGAATTTCATCGAACTTCCACATCCTTATATGCACAAAAATTATTAGTTAGTTTTTTTTTTTTTTTTGATTTCAGGAGGCGACATGTTTGTATAAAATAATTATTACGCGCAATTTTTACATCTGCTTATGTAAAATGTTATCAAAAAAGGGCCATTAGATATGTGTATAAGTGTGAGTGTGTGTGTGTGTGTGTAAACTATACTTTATATAAATACAATATTTCATTACATATTTTGTTTTGTAGTATAAATCTACGAATATAAATCGTATGATGTATGACACTTAATAGTTATTAGCAGCAAACGTGTGCATTTGCCATATTCATATGTATACATATATGGATATATAGGCAGTTGTATGCCAGTAAAATATATATGGCTAAAAATTTTATAAATATTTTAGTTCTTGTATATATGCATATATCAAAAATGATTGTGTGTGTGTGTGTTTTTTTTGTGCGTCAGCGTGCACTTTTCTATAGCATATGTTTGTATATATATATATATTGCATTACAAAAATTTAGAATTAATCGCCTTATTAGCGTTTGCGCAAGCAAATATTTCAGAATTATGCTGTTTTTCCACTTTTTGTTTTTTTTTAGTATGTATTTTTTTTTTTTTGTTTTTTAGTTTTTCCAATGCATAGTCTGTAAATTTTAACTTATTGTAGGTTTTTGGTAGCTAAAAATTTAACAAATAGAAAACTAAAACAAGCCACGCTCCTTCTTCAGATTGGTTTGCTTCCATAATGGCATTTGTTCGAATTCCGCGCTGGTCATGCCAAGCGCCGACAGAAAGTCTTCGGCATTCAGATATAATTCCAGCCGTGTTGGATCTACACCCTCGGGCAATGGACGTCCCTTCAATATGGCTAGCGGATATTCTGTTTGTGTTAATTGTTTCAAAACATCAGCAATGGGAGTGGGTTCATCGGTGCGACCATCCTGGAAAATTTGAAGAAACGAAATTTGAATATTTAATACATAAACAAATACAAAAAGTTGTGCTAAAAATAGCACTTGTTCCGGTATCGTAGGTGGTATTTATGTATATTTGAGAAGTTTCAAAAATGTCAAGCCATATCTTTTCTAGAGCAGCGTTTCTTAAACTGTGAAAAGCGTACCCTCGTGGCGTGTTGTGGAATAAGTTTGAATATGCAGTATATAATAACCATTCCCTTCGACAGTTCATTTAATACTAAAACAATACCCAATTGTAGCCAAGGAACCATCTGTAGATATTCGGAAAATTCAACATCGGCAGTAGAGTACTTTATTCACTGGTCGTTTATTTTTACGTGTCGGGTTCCAAGCCCAGCGCACAACTCATTACTGGGGGTGAAGAGTTAGTCCCTACCATGACTTAGCTTTTAGCAGAATTTGGTCTATTGAATGCATGCCCGAGAAACAGAATCTCAGCGTATTTTGCCCAATCCACAAGCAGGGCGTTCTCGCTGTTTGCGCCAATTACAACCTTATTAGCATTGCGTATAAGGCCTTATCGACGATACTGTGTGAAAAATTGAAGCCGTGCATGCACGTTATCAATGTGGAAAGTCCACCAGACTTTCACAGGTCGTCGAATCCCCGCAAAACTAATACGGCTATGTAGAGTGACGTTGAGCACAACCTTCAGCTCCGTTGAAATTGACCAGAAACTCCCCGCGCCGTTTGAGACAAAATGATGCTTTAGGCAAGGCGATTCACCCTCGTGCGATTTATTCAATCTGATGCTCGAATGCCAGATGACATTCACAACGTCAGCTTAGAAAAAGAAGCGAATGAGGTCGGTCCAGCGGTGAACGAGGACAAGACAAAGTACCTGCAGGCGGCATATCAAAAGGCTTCTCGTATTAGGATGCACGCCACTGTTGACAGTTATAACTTTGATGAAGTAAAGAGCTTTGACAACAATACGTATCAGCCCATCAGGAACTTATCCGTATGGCCAGAATCAGCCATGCGTAAAGCACCATCTGAGACAGGCGGACTATAGATAGGTCTGTAATAGTAATCATCGACAGGCAATCAACATATGCGCAAGTTTGACTCTCATGAATGGCGACATCAGAAACCCACCATAGCCCATCGAAACTTCTGGTTTGGATATTGCAGCCGGTTCAATTTCTACTTAACCAGAATGAACTTCGACATATTTAACGTATGCCCAATGTCCACTCGTACCGACTCCTCTAATGCACTTTTAGTTTACCCCGTCGAGAAGGGGAATTTCTTGGACCTACCATTAGATGATCTTGACGACAAAACTTAATGGAAACACTAATATTGGCAAAGCTCAGTAGGTTACTACAACAATAACGAGATAATTAATCTATTCTAGTCAGTCTAAGCGTCAAATAATAAAAAACACAAACAGAGCATTGATAGCTTTAAACCTTGCAATGCTGTCAACGCCATATTTGTCTCCTGCTCGGCGCATTTAATTGAGTTGTTTCTTGTGTTGAATACTTTTTTCCGTAATCAAGCAAAATATCTTAGAATTTTAACCCTTTGGAGCTTACCTGCATGTTAATTTCTTTGATATCATCGTGTTCAATCCAATCAGGGAAGAGAGCTTTAAATGCCAGCGGCTCAAGGCCAGCCCACACAACGTAACCTTTAATGTCGTGGAAGTCTTTTTCGTTATTTTCAGCTAATAACAATGAAACAAGAAGACACGGATATTAATCCCAATGGATGCGAAATAATAAAATCATTTGTGACATACCAAATTTGGCGCACCAATAAGAGACAGCGGTCTCCAAAGCAGCGCGTCGTTCAGAGATCCAACGATTCACGCCAGCGCGATTCTCGTTCGTCGGACTGCTTCGCTCCTCGGTGGTGACTGCGAAAAATGAAATGTGAAAATAAAAAGTGTAATCAGTATATATTGAGTCAATTTATTGCTTACTCTTGAGATCTTCCAGCGGCCACCAGCCCATCCACAACCATAGCATATCACCATCGTCCAGCATGAAAATCGTTGGCTGGCGTGCATTGTACAGCTGCGCTTGTGTAAAGGGGAAAGGGCTGTATAGGTCCTTGCAACGCAGCGCATACTGCAGTTCTGCGGCGCTAAACACGCCCTGCGTGCTAGAGAAGTGAAAAAGACGCGGTGTATATGCGAAATCTTTGGTTGTCTCTTTGAGTAAGCTGTGGTAAGCGTTGCTATCAAAGCCTATCAATGCCTCTGCGAACTCATCGACCTGTTTGCCCTCTTCGACGGTTTCCACACGCATCACACTCACATTATTCACAAACATGTCTTCCGGTTTCTCTGACTTCAAATGTTCTGCCGCCAGTTCGGCCAATTCGCGTGTATGCTTGGCGCTCTTGCGGCCATGCCATACATAGATCACACCCTTATCGCCATGCACGAGCAGCATTGAAGCGCGCGAACGCAGCTGACGAGCATGACAATCCACCTCGCTGAGCAGTGTTTCTTCGCGCAAATTACCGGTGATTTGGTAGAGCCGCCAAGTGTTGCGCCGCTGTAAGCAGTCCTCCTTTCGACCTCTGTGTTGGAATAGCAACTTGAAGAGGCGTATGAAGGCCGGTGTTTCATCGCCTTGCGCAACACGCTTCTGTGCACCCTTCTCCTTGTCCAGCTCTACTGTGAGCAGCGCAGCGGCGCCCTTCTCATTGGCGCTCGAGTCGTTGCCCTGCCAGCAGAAATACACACAACGATCGCGTCCCACTGTGGCGCGATTAGAGATTTTGCCACTCAACTCACGCACCGTGACGGAGATCTGATACACCCAGCGCACAATATAACTTTCGGCGGAGTAGAAGTGTCCATAGCTGCTGGCTTTAGCGTTATCGAAGTTGAATTCGTGTATTTGCCATTTGTCGATGGATTTTGTGATCACATCGAAGTGACGCATGCTATCATTGTCGTAGTAGAAGTTGCCACGCCCCAAATTGGCGTTCTCCAGCACTAGATTGGGCTCCAGGTACGGTTCGCCTTTGTAAATCCCTTTACCGTCGAGCGCTTTCACAGCGTGCACACCATTCACAAGATAATCCTTTTCGAGATCTTCGCGCTCCACTTCAGGCCAGTCGGAGAACTTCTCTTTGAAGAGTGATGTCTCCATATTTTGTGTAATTTTGCCGAGTATACACCAATCGCCGCGTTTCTCACAACGCCGCAGAAATTTATAAGAATCGCGACTGCCCACTATAGCGGCATAGTTAACGGGATTCACATAGCAGCTCGAGTAGTCCACATTGCCTGTGTCGAAGTGCTCTTGCGCCAATTTTATGGCGGCGCGCTTGGCATCCGTTGGCGCCGTCTTGCCATTCCATACATACATTTCACTACCGAAATCGAATATGATTACCTTATTTGGATCGAGCATCTCCACTTTAGGTATGCAACCCCAGTACTTTTCCATCGGCACCAAGGAGTCGTCTTGGAACTCATAAATTTTGTTCGTCTCAATGAGGCTGGCTTCGAAGAGATCATCTTCATCGGCATGGCCACAGTCGGGTATTTGATAATCGTCTGGCTTGGCGAGCAGCTCCCAAAATATATTCCAGTGCTGCTCGTTTAAGAACTTACCATCTGTTAAAATAACCTCGGCTGTGGCAGTGCAGCCGAGATCCTTATTTTCGACAATGTAGGCACAGATTTTCTTGCTGCGCGCGATTTCAATTACATTAGCGAATGACCCGACATAACGGTATAGCTGATCGCCATGGACGAGTATGAAACAGTCGCCGCGATTCACTGACTTGTAGGTGGGCTCAACCAAGCGTGTCTGCACATGCGTGCGTCCCTTGACATGCAGCAACATGAGTTTCTTGTATGGCAACCACATTTGATTTAGGGGCAGCGAAGAGGATTTCAAGGCAACCGATTTGAAGTCTTCAACGGAGGCAAGTCCGGCGATAGCCTCGGCTGCCAAGTTACTACTGCGGTGACCATCTGAAAAAGCGCAGATATGAAAGTCGTATTAATTTTAACAGTCCTAGAAGATATGGTATTCATTTTCGCACTTACATGACTCGAGTTTAATGCGTCGCATTTCACGCTCTGCCACACCAGATTTAACTTCTGTATACTCGGAGGCGATATCAGTGCGTTCGGCCAAACTTTTCAACGGGTTGCGTGCTGCTCGTCTACCCTTTGGCCCCTGGATGGCACGCTTTGTAACCAAACTGTAAGCAGAGAAGGAACGAATTTTGATGAACTGAAACTAATTTTGAATTTTGACTTATTCGTATTTATTTCTCTCCGAAAAGCATAGAAAAACATTAAATGCCGAAACACACACCCGTCAGCTAATACTCACCGCTGTGTCGCCTTGATGCTATCAAAGTCGAAATCCTTCAATTCGGCATCCTCGCCAATCACACTGGTCTGTATGGGAGCTGCCGGTTTCTTTGATACAAAGAATTTCTCGAACGTCTCCTCATCGTCCATCTTTGGCACTGCAACGCGGGTACCGAGTGCTGCTGTAGCAGCTGCACTTTTTGTATTCGCCTTATTTTTGGTATCCTTTTCATTGCAACGCCCGGCATCGGAGTCGGAATCAGAGTTAGAGCTCGAGTTCGATGTTTCACCATTGCGTCGTTCAGCTGTTACACTGAGGCTACGTTGCAGGAAACTATGATGTCCGTTGGTACCACCATTGGTGGCACCGCCATTTGTATTGCTTGTCACCATCATCGATGGACTCTTGGCGAGTCCAAGTTGTGGTTGATTGGCGCTGAGTACCACTTGCATTGGACATTTTTTGGGTTCAGCATTTGGACCGCGTTCAAATTGCAACTCAATTGGCGATTGTGCCTTTTTCTGGAGGCGACCAGCGACTGTGAATTTCGATGCATCCGATTGCTCTGCGGAAAGGAATGCACAATAATATAATAGATAAAAACAAGTGCCATAACAGATTAGAAAGTGAAAGATGAGAATGGAAAGGTATAAATAGCTGGGACAAGAAGTGAGTAGAATATGTTGCTCGGAGGTCTTCAACCTTCCATTCATATTTCGGAAGCCAAGTTCTCATACTTCACCAGCGTTTGGTCTGGTCGGGTTAACAGGTACCTCTAGTGACGAAATTCCATCGAGGAAATCACTTAGCAAATCTGAAACGAAGTTTCGAGTGCTCTTTCAATTCCATGACAGAGAACGCTAATACTCACGATGAAGACAACGACACTTGACGAAACCTCACAGTGATCTTGCGCTTAAGCTTCAATGGTATACGACCACACGTTGGTTCTATGAACCCAGGTCCTCGGGAAAAAATGTTTTAGAACAATCACCTGAGAACGGTCACAAAACACTAGCCCAGTCATGCCTGGCGCAGGGCACTTGCGTATGGAATTCTGCCAACATTGGGCATGACTGCACTAGTCAGTGTTAAATTTTCTTCTTGAAACAGAGTTCCAATTTTTACTTGAGGAAAAGTATATCGTTACCTTAATCCTTTCAGTACAAAAAGTCCCGACCGGAACTTTCCGCAACCGAGATTTTGTCGACAGTGCCAAAACGAGTTCTTGCATGGAAATCTCTTCCGGCGCTTAATAGATTTTCTTAACAATGTTCTCACCCAAAACAATCAGAGACAATCTCTCAACAGAGAGACAGAGAGGCAATCTCTCAACAACGGTCATTCTTCGCCTGGACGGGCACTACTACGCTATATCTTGCCAGGTAGATTTTCTATAGTAAAAGAGTAACCTTGTCGGGCAGAGGATAGGTTGCCCGAAACAAGTTTATCTTCTTAGAAAGGGGACTGGATCCAGAATACTTAGATAGTAATTTGCCTTTGAGATTATCACTTTTGGTGTTGGGAAGATTTCCTTAATTGAGATGCTTTTTAGCAGCGCCTGGACTGGCTGTATCCTACAAAATCCTACCGGAGTAATCAATCCTGTTGCCGACAAGATTTTTACTGACAAAGGTTTTTCTTGATATCGCCATGACAAGCTCTGGCACATGGCAACCATACAATAATAAATTATCAGGGCACTGGGTATTTTCTCCGAAGCTAGGCTTTCTCCACCAGAGATTAGACTGGCTGTAGCATACAAGCACGCATCAGAGATTTTCATTTCTGCAGCTGGAAAGATTCTAGCAACTGATCCTGGAACTGGCTAGATATTCCTGATAACGATTTCCTTGTCACTACCATTAGAAGCTCTGACAAGCGACTGCGATACAATGGTAAACTATCAAGGTGCTAGGTATCTTTTCAAAATCTAAATCACCGCTAGAATTACAGGAATGGCCCAGTCTTACATTTTACATTAGGGATTGTATAGGAATTCTGATTAGTAATTCGACAGTTCATTAAACGGAAGCTGTGCAGAATCACTGGATAGTGACTACATAGAGCGAGCGTTAGGCTTGTGTCTACCGCCTCGATAGTTTTCCTAGTCAGGTGCTAGACGAAAGAACGCAAATCTGACCAGCGCCTGTACAAAATCGAGATTTATTTCCGCCAGGGATTCCGAAAAAATTTAAAGATGGATACTATAATTTGAGCATAGTTAAGTCCAGGGCCTAAACTGACTTTTTATGCTCAGTGACATTGATCCATGACCATAATGAACCAAAGAGTGATGAGCGAAATAAATAAGCAATCGAAAAAAGTAGTTAAATTATGTTTTTTTTTGTACTATTTGCAAATGTTTAACACATACCGATGCGATCTTTCCACTTCTCCGAAGATGTTTTCAATTTGCCCAAACGATCTGAAACTTTACCACCTTCCAAGCAGGTAGGTATAAGAGGCGAGTGCGGCAGTGGCTTGTCCGACAGTGAGTGCGCCAGAGAAAGTGATTCCTGAAAAAATAAAAAATAATCCAAGGTCAATTGGTGTGCAAAGAATTGGTAACTAAAAATTCGAATATGTTAACTTAAACTATTTAATTTTAGTTTGCATATTTACGGCATAAAAACGATGAAAAAAAGTTAAAACTGGCTGTTTGAAGCTTTCGCTAAATACGAGTATGTGACTAATCAAATCTGAAGTGAAAATCAATAAAAAGCAATGACTCATAGAATGCGCTTATAAAAATAATAAATTTATTATTCCTGGAACTGTATCAATGGACGGCATAATGGCATGCTAATCGAATAAAAGTTAATATGTAGTAGCTGTATGTCAAAGAAGAAGATAATTAAAAACAAAGCACTTGTTTTAACAAAGGAATTGTTGAAGTTTTATTAGCTTCAATAAATATAACATACTGACCAAATAAATATTAGAAAATCAAAATGTTAAATACATAAATGATAAGTAGGTACATGCATATATACACAAATATGTATTTATATACACCTGACCAGCGTAATTTTTTTGCGTAATTATCGCGTGGGTAGACCCAGTGACCCAAAATTGTCACTGTCGTTTTTTCACCAGACCAAATTTGAAATTTCGTGATTTCAAATTAGAAATGTTGGCAATAACAAATTCGGTTGCAGAAATGGACAGTGTAAAGGCGTAATTAAAAATAATCACTAGAAATATTTATTGCTACGCCAATATGTACACATGGACGAATATTTACATACATACATACGTACATAAGTATACTTTTGTACCCTGTGGGAAAAAAAGAATTCTCAGAAATCAACTGGACATCAACATTACCAATATTAAAAAAAAATTCAACACGTGATCATTTGTTTGAGTCACTATACGTACAGTTTTATTTTTATATAAAAATACCGTCCAAGCTTTAACAAAAGCCATATATGTATATCACTGTTACAAAACTTTAGGAAATTCAACGAATTTCATCAAAGTTTCAACTTTTTTATTTGAATCTTCGGAACATTTTGGGTATGCAGTTTTATATAGCTCATACAATTTTGAATGAAGTGCAAGTTTCAAACGGCAAAAAAATCCCGTTGATATTTGAGATTTTTTTTTTTGGTAACGGATTTTTGCACTTTTTTCCATATAAGCATGAATTTCTTATAAAATAAAACGCGAGATACCGTAAGCAACAAATTTTCGAAAAATCAACGGCAGTTTTTTTAAGTTGCACTTGTTATATAAAAAAAAATTGAAAAAATAGGCAATAGCCTAGAATTGTATGGGCTATAAAACAACGGTATACCCAAAAATGTTATAAAGAGTCAGATTAAAAATTAGAAGTTTTGATTTTCCTAAATTTTGTATAAAGTGCGAAACTGTGATTTATATGTTTTTGGGTAAAGCTTGGATAATAATTTTAAAGAAAAAAAAACAAAAAAAAAATTTGCACGAAAAACATTACGGATATTAAAAAAAAAAATTGAGTCACTCATATATTCGAAACAAAGCCGTTAATTTGCCACAGTCATAAAAACCGGTGCACACTATTCAGGCAATTCTAGGTTTACACCTTTGCTGAGATACTACAAGTTCAGTACTTTCTAGTTTCTTTGTCTAGATTTTTCTTACAGGGTGCATTAGCTGTACAACCAAGTTCACATACAGGCAAATCAATCATTTCCATTTTTGCTATTAAATGCGCACTTTTATCGTGAATTAGAGACCCCTAATGGGTTTTCCCATTTGCATTTTTTTATTGCTATTTTTATTTTCATATTTTTATAGGCCCAGTTTTGTGTTTTGCGTTCGTAAATCTCGTAAATCCATACGTTCACATGAACATATAAATTTACATATGTAAATATGGTATTAGTCCTTATATGGACCGACTGACTTGGCGTCTGCTCGTTTCGTGCGCAGTGACAACCTTTAGCCTCACTGCACCTCATCTTTTCTGCAATTATTGAAACTGAATATTGCAATTGCAATGAAGGAAAAAATATATATTTAAACATTATAGCACACTTGCAACATCATTTCTGTGTTCGTATGGAAAAGTAGCTTATGTCGAAAGGTTGGCTTTAGTAAAAATCGGCATTCGCAGCATACGATTGCGAATGACTTACGGGCGCTAAGCCGTTAAACAACTTTTAGCAAATAAACGTGCAAGAAATAGTTCCGATACTAGCAAGTCAATATTCTTTTTAAGTCTCATCAAAAAATTCCTTGTCGTTTAAAAAATAAAGGGAATGCCGCATTATACTAAAGCCGGCCTTTCGACATAAGCTACTTTTCCATACGAACACAGATTTATTACAATAACTTTGTTGTAATTTACATAGCAAATTGCAGTTGGCAGCACGTACATATTAAACCAAATTTGAGCTGTCTATTTTTGGTAAACGTTTCATTACGTAAACAAATATTTTTAATTGCTGATGGCAATAGATCGTTTATGGTTGTGCGGTGACATTGAAAACATTCGAACAAATTAGTGTAAATATGTGTAAGCATGTGTGTAGATATTTATGTATGCAGTTGATTATGTTTATCAATATTTTATTCACTGATTTAGTTAAGGGTTTGCTTGGATAGCTCTTCAAACTTAAATAACAATTTTAATTTTTCATGTCAAAAATTTTTAATATCGAGTATCTTTCTTTGTTTAGTATCACAAATTTTGATGTTTGCGTGATCGTGTGGTTTGATAAAAAGCTGCATAGGCATTTTCTTTATTTTTACCATTTTTTCTTTAAAATGGCTCATTCTTCAAAATTAAAAGTAGAGTCTCCCTGCGATACCTACAATTCGAAAAACAAGCTTGAATCTTAAAAAAAAGAATATGCCTGTTTAAGCGAAGTGGGGTGTATGTAAACAAGAGTTAGCCGTACACAGTCTAAAGTATTTCTTCAAGGCAATTTCGAAAATACATTTTTTTTGGTCGAACCGAGGGGTCGCCTTTTAATATTTTGCATTTTTAATTTTTTCATGTATGTAGGTACATTTGGTAATAAAAAATATTTTTTTAAATAGTTCTACTGAAGATATCAATCTACTTCCTTACCAAAAGTTTTATGATTTTTGGAGGGGTTCCATTTTTTTAACATAAGGGTGGTACGTTAAGGTGATAAGAACTGAGGTTAATGAACTTTGGAATAATTAAACAACTATCTCCTCGAGACAAGATAATTGATGTACAACACTGACGAAAAATGTAAAAAGGCCAAAAGAAAAAATTTAAATTTCCTTCGACACGAAATACTTCCTTATCAGAAGTTGTATACCTTTGGCGAGCTTTAATAAACTGACATTAGGGTGGTAGGAACTAAGATCTGATGCGTAAGTACTAGATCAGGATAGCTGAGGTCAACGAACTTTGAACAAAAACAATCTCTCCTTGACACAAAAACCCCGGTAAATCATACTTCTCGATCATAGACTCGACTGTAAATGCCGAAGACATGTCGAAAAATGTTAAATGTCCCCCCTAACTTTGGCGAAAAAAAAATTTTAAATGACCTTCTAAACTACTTTAGATTCAGGGGCGTATGACGAAATTTTTTCTTCTGGTACGGTCTAATGTACTCATGCACATACATACACATATGCATACACTGGCGGTCAAAAATGGATTAATGGTAGTTTGCTTTTAATATTTACAATGTTTTTCAAGCAAAATTTAATTAATTTCAGAAATGCTTGAAATTTCAATATTTCGAAATTTAAGGACGCTAATTTACTTAAAATGTATACACCCCGGCTTATCATGTAGCGGTAGCTTTCGGAAAGGTGGAAAACATATATTTAATACTTGCGCCGGGTATTTAATGTTCGGCTCCGCCCGAACTTAGACTTTCTTACTTGTTTGATCTCAAAATAAAAAAAATAGCGGAATATTTTTTTCTGTATAGAACAATCCTAAGGGGGTGAGAGCATAAAAATTCCGACTTCACTTTTTCCACATGCATTTTTGGACCACCCTAGTGTACATATTCATACATATTTGAAATTTACATACGGATTTTCCATACTCATTGGTTTTTCTTCTGGGTACACCAAACAAAAAAAAACGCGACGACACCTCTTTTTTTGACTGAACCAAAAGAAAAAACTTAGAAAAATATTTTTTTTGTTGGTTTTCTAATGCAAAATAGGCACTTAAATAATAAGCAAAAGTATTGTGAGACTATCGAAAAGCGTTCATTTGACTTTGGGAGTGTTTATTTGAGTTCGAGAGTATAGTTTTTTTCATTATTTGTATGATGTTTCAAGTTTTGCGATTTTATTGTAAAATCTCAAAATGCGAACAAGTTTGTCGGTCGGAGTCAATTGGAATTAATACTAGGAAGAATAGCTAGCTTTTACTCAATGATAAAAATCATACCCAAGGCATTAATAATTACCACTTTAACCTTCTCCATGTCCCTTGAAGTATATTCAAAAAAATTTTACACACAATTTTTAATCACTTTTCACATTTAATAATGTCAATCAACGCGTAAAACTGGCGGCAAAAAAATTGTTGCAATCCCTTTCGACAGTGATCAGCGTTGAAGATGCGTTGACGCCACGGGACGGAAAGTCCCAAGCACAAAAGCGCCACACCTGTGATCGCGGACGATCGATGTCGCGTCACACTTGTTGCTGGTTGCTTTGCTGCAGGCAGCGAATACAACACCCAGAGACCACCAACAAATAAAACCCTCTGTTTTTTTTTGCACACAAATTTCGTATTGTTTTTATTGGCAACAAATAAAATTAACAACCGTTATGCGAAATCAATTGTAAGGAATCAAATGTAAAACAGTTGAGTTAATGACGTGCCAAATTAAAAACAAATACTGTTTACGTAATAAAAAAAAGTGTGAATTCACTGCAATGTGGCGCGTTTGTTGGAGCAACTGAATCCAGCTTTTGTTTGTAGGTATGTATGTATATGTAAATAAATTTGAACGTGTGTGGGTTTCTTTACACAATGCGGCACATTTTGCAAGCGTTTGAATGGACTTTAAGTGCTTAACTGCTGGAGCGGCCGGTTGTGCTCACCTTTCTAGCTGATTATTCCGGCCTTTTGTGGGTAGGCACTTAAAGCTGATGCATACCCTCATAGTATGTACATATATAGTGAGGTAAATTATTGGAAAAAATTCTCTCTGTTTGCATATCAATTTCGTAGTGGAATATAATATATTTTGCAATCTTAGCAGCGTCAATTTATTGTCGGCTGATATGAGCTAGCTAAAAAAAAAGTAAGTCCAATAATGCTCTGATAAGATAGGCGAAAAAGCTCGCTGCAGCTGTTATCAAAATGAGCACACTATGGCTAGATAAGAGCGCAAAACAGCCGGCTTAATTGTGTTTACCTAGAGCACATAAAGCTGAAGCCCTTCTCAGAGAGCCGATCATTTAGTTAAATATCAAAAAATAAATCAATGAGATAATAGCGCAAAATGCTCGCCTTGAAAAGCTGCGTAAAAGCGAGTTAGCCGGATGTTTTGCCGATAAACTCTTTGCGAACTTTATTGATTTCACTTCAGAGTATGTAATTTTTTTTCCACACACAAAGAACAATATGTAGGTACATTAAGGCGTATCACGAAAATAAAAATTCTTGCGTGTTCAGTTTTATTTGAATACTTTGTATGTATGTCGAGAAAAAAATTTTGAGTTTCGAAATTATTTTTAAGGCACCCGCTAAAAAATGCTAAATCGCGTTTTTATCTATAACTTTCTTATTTCATAACCGATTTTTTAAATGTTTATGTCGCAAAATGTATAGATCACGCTCAGGAGTATAATTTGCCATTAAAAAATTTTAACCGTTTTAATTTATACCTCCACTCGTTTTGGAAATACTAACCCTAGATTTTTATTTTTAATTAATTAAGGTGTAAATCCAAATCTGTTTTAAAGCCGAAATTGATTTATAGCTAATTATAGTCCTCAGCGAGACCTTTTCGGCGACATAGCGGTTTTTGGCGGGTGCCTACAAAAAAAATTTACACCCAACATTTTTTTTCGACATAAGTGTTAAGTGACACACGTTAATTTTATTTATTTTTTATATATGTCGTGATTCCGCTTAATGTACATTCTTATGTATGTAAGTACATATGTGTTACCTGCTTGTTGCTTTTGTTAATATACAATTATTAGCAGATATTGATTGCACTCGACAGGTTTGCAGATAAAAACTATTTTTAAAATGAAGTAGGGGCTAATTTTCTTTGTTAAAGCACAATAAACTTGAGACAATTATTTATCGTCCGAAAAGCTTGATGAATCATCCTTATAAAACAATAACCAAATTTAAGAAAAAAATTTGTGCTTATTGATAATAAAATACATACATATTTGAATTTGTTCAATTTCGTTTTGAATAAGCAACGACATCTTAAATCATTTTTTAAATTTCAACTCAAAAAATCAAGCTGAAAGAGGATATTAAGAAATATGCCGATCATAATTCAAGTAAACAATACTGATATAATTAAGACGAATTTCTTTCATTTTTTAATTAATAAATCAACCGGTAATTTTAAGTTCACAGCGAAAAATGGTTCCGAAATGCAGAATACTTGCAACCTGTCGAAACAACCAACTAGCCATAGGGAAATAATATCGATTTACATTCATGTACTTTGTCGATAATAATTTGATAATTAAGTAAATCGATAATGTGTACTCCGTTGATTCCATCACCACCATCACCACTATCACCCTCATTTCACCATCAAAATTGTCATTGGTTATTTTATCATTGTTTACTTTCCTTTGCATTTCAAAAAAAATAAAAATAAAAAATTAAAAACAGCAAACATTTTAATAAAAGCGTAAAAAAATGCATACAGAAGCAGACAACTGGGCAATGAAGTCTTCTCTCGACGAACAAAAATCACACTCTTATAAATCTCTCATTATGTCCCTGTTGACTTATGCTGCTGAAGAGTACACGATCATCTTATGAGTGTTCCATACTTATGCTGAATTTGGCCAAAATCAGTTAAGCGGATGTAGCGCTAGTGAAGAAGACCACTGAACACCAACTGGAAGTTAAACTCATCTCCATTTTGGAACAACCCGCCCTGTTAAGGAAACACTTAATACGAATAATGTAGCATCATGCTTATTACCGCTGAATTGGGAAAGCAAGTTTTTCAGAAAAAATAAGAGTTTGCTATAAATGGAAAACAGTATTTTTTTTAACAACGTGCGTCAGTCAATTTCGTGGACACCAAAATCAATACACATACTCGCGAAACTAGGTACAAAATATAGTTAAACTGCGTTTTTAATTTTTCACTGTGGAATCAGATTTTTTTTTAATTCAGTACAGGTTAAAAAATAATCGATATGGGCGTCAAATAAGAAGGAGAAAATTCCGTACTATTGAAAAAATTTGAATTTTTGGAACACGAGGACGAATAGGCATTGAAAATGTCAATTTTAAAATGTAATGCTTGATTATCCTTGTAAATAGTTACTTTTGAAAAAAAATATGTTAAGAACTAATTTGTATACTATCACATCCTCGAATTCGGTCCTTTAACTCTCTATGTTTGAGATAAAAAATTAATTAAAAGTTACACTTTCAATACTTCCACCTCACCTCCTTGTGCACCAAAAAAGTAATATTTTTTTTAATTCTAGAAAATTTTTTCATTTATTTGATATGGGCAATATTGTTATTTAAAATTGCACTGCATTTTTAGAATAATTGTTTTTTTTTTAATTCATCATTCCTTGAAATTCTAGAATCCTTGAAAAACTCCTGCCGTCAGAGAGATCTAAAAACCCAGTTTTACTGTGTTTGGCCCTCAGTTTCGTGCGTATATTGATTTTGTCATATGTTTTTAAATTTTTAGTTTTTTTTTCGCACGGTGCAATTGTTGATGATAGAAGCGAGGCTGAATGGTAATCAATATGTACTGGTCTATGCTGACTAAAGGCACACTCTAAAAAAGTGTATGTAAAACTACTACTGAAAAGTGTTTATTTTTCAACCAGAATCTGTGTAAATATAAGCATAAGATGTTCAAGATTTGATATTGATCAGGAGATGTTTAAAATATACACATGAAAAGTTTAAAAGGTTTCAAATAAATTTTTTACCAATAATAAACCTTAAGGGCTCATATTTACTCTATTTTAAACACTTTATGTGTAATTTTGCTCTACGCGATACATTTCGTATGTAAAAGTAAACAGCCAGTGTTTAATTTTAGTACTCGGTGTGTAAATTTGCATTCATTAAAAGAGGCATATACGCAAATTTAAACAAAAATTTTTTAGAGTGTAGAGCATACAACTTTTTCGATAAGATAAGGTTTACTGAAGTTTACCTCCGGGACCATAAAAGGATAAAACGATAGGCATCATTTTTTTTCGAAACTTGGTCGAATTTCAATATAACTGGAGAATTTATTTTTATGCTTGTACCTAGAAACTATCTGAGAACAAACGATGGTTGTGGAAAAATACGCAGAAAGCTTCGCCTGAATTCTCCATTACAATGTTAGTGGTAGAGTCAATTTTAATCGAAATACCATTTTTAGAAACTTTAGAAGAAGCTTTGATAAGGAAATATGCCACCGATAAACAGTTTTACTTCTGGGACAAACCAGCTATCGTTCGCGAATTCACACTAAAATATTAAAAAAAAAAAACTTTGAAACTTAACAAAAGATGCTTTCATATATTTAATCAGTATTGTGCCTATACGGCTTCCAAACAACAAGTCAAGCCAAGCCAAGCCTACATTTGTTTATACTATGTGGGCACTTAGCGATTCACACCCATCGACCAAATATTGTGTAATACAATGAAATACAAAAATAAGCAAATTTAAAAGTGCTTATTGTTATTTAACTATATACAAATAACTACTTACGTACAAACATATATTCACAAATAAATAAATACACATGTTGGCAGCGGATGAATATCTGTTTTCGTGTATTCTTTTTTCCCAACTCCCGCTGCTTCGCTCACACCGCAAAAACTGTCATAAAGACAATGGACGTTTAAGGTATTTTAATTCATTAGCTACTTTGCCATGAAGATACCAGATTATGACTCATACAAATTTATTGACAAATAACACTTTTTTTTGTGAATGTCCAGCATTCATTTGGACATCATAAAACAAGCGCTACAATGGCGGAAAACCAAAAAATCGACAAATTTGAGGCAATTCGATTTAATATCCTAAATAGATGAGCTTTGCGGCTTTGATTGTGAGAAGAGCACTTTTTTTGGTTTGCAGATAGGATTGAGTATGATTTATTGCTTAAGATTATGTGATTTTGTATGCGCAATGTTTACAACTGGTAGATAGGATGACACATTTATTTATTGACAGAGTTTCGGATTATAACATTTGTATAGTTACAGTTATAGTAATAACAAATACATATGTACA